CACTTAGTTGTGAGGCTTGTCAATTATTTGCTAAATTTATTCCAAGTGGAAAGATATCTTTATCCCAAAAGGCCAAAAAAACATATGAATATGGCGTGTTGTGCTGCATGTGTTATTGCTGTGAGAAATATATAAAGCAATTCACATACCTGTAATAACAAGATACGTGAACTTCACATTCCCCAAGCAGTTCGCAGTGGCAAGTAATTTTTTTAATTTTCAACACATCTTATGACAGCCATAATTAATCTTCTCATATACAGAATTCTCTGGCAAAAACAATTAACATATGGCATTTTCTTTTTTTTTGTTTCAGGACAATATTTAAATGTTGATGTGAGGTTTCACATTTGCTTTTATTATTGTTTTGCAACAAAGCACTCCGAGTATGTAAGCATTTGACTCAACTTAAGCCAGAAAATGAATGCTTCCAAAGCTTCTCAAAAAATACATTTTATTGATATTAACAATTATAATTCATCCAGGTTGCCACTCGTGATTTCGGCAAGAATTTCGCGAATGTATTGGCACTCGCTGCATTTACTGTCTGGCATGTGCTGAATATTAAAATGTACTTTTTGTGTAGTTTGCTTGCTTACCTTTATTCCTATCTCTGCAGAGTTATTTGTGCTGTCTTACCTTGTGTTTATATAATATTGCACAAATAATGCAATAATAAACAAGTAAGTTCTTATGAACAGGCTTATGCTTAGTTAACTGATGTATGCTAAGAGTAAAAAAGATGTGCAATAAACTGATCCTTCTTGCTAATGGACGGCAACATTAAGAGCAACTTTCACCAAATACACTTGTGTTTACTTGCATTGCATGTCAAAAATTGGCATCACTTGTAGCCAGGTGCATTTTCTATTTTTCATTTAGATACCTTGAGGCATGTGCAAGGGTGTGTTCAATGAGAGATGGGATACAGCACAAAAAACAAAAAGCACTCGTGATGTTTACAGATGCCCAATCACATTCACACAAAAAGATGGTGGGTCATTGGTAGCAACAACAATACTAGGGGTGTGCAAATATTTAAATAACGAACCAAATAGCATTCGCTAGTCAAATTTAATTGTACATATATGAAATATTCAATATTTAAAAAATAATTAGCCCCAATGAGACAACCCTGAAGCAGCAAAACATGGGATCAGCTGGAGGTTTATTTTACTTTTGTAATCCCTGAACTACCACAATAAATGCAGCCCAAGTTTTGGCAGCACTATTGATTCTATAACCATTACCACATCAAGCATTTTTGCTGCAAACTGCACTTTCACTCTGTTTTTACTGTGGTGGAACTGCTTCACATTTATCCTTTCCTGTTTTCATCATTGAAGTTAGGTATTATGACTGCATTTAGCTTCATGAATAAAAACGCATGCCAGTAAGTCCGCTTAAGTTCACGTAAATTGTTCTAACAGATACAGCTTTCAACACTTGACTTTTACATGCTCTCTGTGCTAGGTGTGTGTTGTGGTAATTTTGCCTGTTCCAATAAATCTTTAGCTGAATACATGGTGTTCGGTTCGAAATTGTTTAGATTTTACGCTGAAATTTTACTTAAAAGCTGGCAACAGAGTTTTAACTTGAATAATGGAGTGGCTGAGGCATTTTGACATACAGTTCAAAGATATTTTGAAGGCTCTGGTCGCTGCTGTATACAAGCTTGTCACAGTTTTCATAATTGTAGTATTATTTGGTGACCGCTCGTAAATATTTATTTCAAATAAACTGTTTTGGACTTCTAGGAATATTTTTAAAAAGGTTGTTTCGTTTCTATTTAAAAACTATCAGAAGAGTATTGGGTTAACTTAAGCGTTATTTTTGGCTATATCGTTATTGGATTCATATTGAATTCGCTTTTGAAATTTACTACTCGCACACCACTTGCTTGCGCGCGTCTATAGTACAACAGTGTTCATGAACTCGCTTGCTGGATTCCGTGCCGACCGGATGTGCCCTCGCGATTTCCGACGTCAGCGTAGCTCTGGCCGACTGGGCTCGCCCTACGTCATCTCCTGACGCCGACGACCTTCGACGACAGTGTAGCTCTGACCGACTGGATTTGCTCTACACCATCTACTGAGGCGGACAAGAGCTTTCGCTCTTGTCGGCCTCAGTAGAGCACTCACTTTCTGGCATACTGTTTCTCTTTCTCTCTACACCTTAAATCCTATCCTTTTAATCCCTCCTCACCCCCATCCCTTGTGAGCTACTGTTGAAGCGTCGCTCCCTGAAGCAGACAGTTACGGGGCTCACTTTTCTTTTCCTTTCTTTCTCAGAACCACTTAGACAGTGTTCATGCTGTCAACGCTTCACCGCTCTACATGCATGTATCGCGGTGAAGTGAGCAAAAAAAAAAAAACGCTGGCTTGAGGCGGGTTCTTTACATGCACAACGTACAGTAGATTTCGAAGTGTATTTGGCCAGAGGGAATACGCTGTCACCTACGTCCTTCTCTTCTAATAATAGCGCGGCCTCTCGCTCCTAATGTGAACGGAATTGCTTGGCGTGTTGATAGGGACACTACGAAGACGTTCGCTTGCAGGTCTATCGAGAAGCTGCTACAGATATTCGTGCTTCTCATTTTGCAGCGCTATCATAATCAGTAGCGGTGGCATTCACTACGAGTAGCCTAAGATATGCCAGAGTGAGTGCAAGCTGGGGGATCGAGTGACGTGCGCGACGTAGGCACTCAAGTGCTCCGAAACTAGCTCTTCGAGCAGCAACGAAATGCTTATCGAGTTACGATTATTGTTATATAGTCCACACATGAACTCTTCAAACCGTCATCATTTTTCACTGCATATCTGCGCCGACTTCAATGCTTTCGGGGATCGTTGCAAACGGAGCGACGAGTCTTGCGGTAGCGTCGACACAGGCGTGGGCACAGCGTTTCTGTAGCACTTTGGTAGCACCAACTACTTCATAGCATCATCTTCCCATTCATTGTAGGCGGTTTGCCAGTACGCGTGCGAGCGTCAACTTTGTTCTCGCTTTCATCGCGGCGTCTTCATCAGCTGTGCCCCATCAGGTGTGCCCCAGCGACTTAGTATAAAATTGCAGGTGCGTGAGCACAAAAAACTGCGCAATTTTTGCAGTTAGTTCTCTGCCATGATTGGCACAGCCAACTTGATGAAGCATAACTCTTTCCTTACCGCCAGAGAAGACCCGTTTTCATGTGGTGCAGAAAAAAGTTTATCGTTATACAACAATGTTTTTTTGTTGATTGTAATACACCAAAATGTAGACAAATAAATGCGCTTTTTAATGATATAAATACAAAACATGTGTTTGCAACACAATACCAGAAAAAAAATACCAAACAACAAATTTCTCGCAACTACCGCAAAAAAAATGTGGAAAAGTAAGCATGGTGGGCACAAATATCTCAGTAAAAAAATTCAAGATATGCGTTTTGTGGCATATTTACATAGCTAACTATCCTAAAAGTTTCAACAGTACACATAAAAATTTGTTAGCACAGCAGAAAAAAAAGTTTGCACTTGTGATTACGGGACAATTTTCTGAGAGTGCAAGAAAAAAAATTTTATCCACAGATAAAAAATATTTTAGATGTTCTGCAGCTCATGAAAATGTAAAACAATAAATGGTCTATTTCTTTCAATAAATTTAGAACAAGTTTTGATTGCACAGTAAGAATAAAAAATAACAAAAAAATTGTCAAGGACACAATTTTTTTTCAAAAAAGTGGGTGTCACGAGCGAAAAGATGGCAATACAAATTCTGAATATACATTGGTTAGGTAGTAGTTACTTCTCAAGACCACAGAGGTTACAAGAGTATGTCACACAGGTCCCGTTAATTAGGGAGGCGATCGCCGGGCTAATTCCAAGGGCCGAAGTATCGGCCCCCCGAACCGCACGACGAAAGCGTGGACAATTTAGGAGTGGTCCTTTTTGGCGCGCCAGCGGACGCCGGCTGTGGTCCAAAGAACAAGTCAGAGCCGAGAGCTGATAAACAAACAAAATTTATTCTAAAAATGGCAGATCGAAAACAATGCACAAGAATGCACACTCCACAATAGTTGAGTACAATATGTCACCAACCAAACAACGTACTACACAGTACAATCAGCCACACTCGAAACAACGGACACAGACAACAATACGCACTACAATGCAGTCGCATGCATTGAACAACCAAGACACTTAAAGACTAAAGAGATAGAAAACCTATTCAGTCCAAAGTTCTTGGAACAAAAGTCTTGAGGATACTCTTCCGAGAATCACTCACTCAAAGTCCAGCGTTGTCGTTCCGCTGCCCCTGAAGTTTCTCTTCCAGGAAACCTCGCCCAAGTTTCTCTTCCAGGAAAGCTCGCGTCTTCAATTGGCCTCTCTCCAAGCTTCAAACTTCTTCGCCGGAAACCCGTCGGCTTCACACACGCAGCTGTTGCCACGCGTGTTCGCTCGATAGCGGTAAACACACACTCTTGCCTGTAGCTCGAGTCGTCACCCCTCAGGTGGAAATCATCTTTTTCTCCTGCTTTGTCTCTACGGACAAAACCTTCGCCGACTACACGGCGGAATCCCTACGCGCTCTGGCGCTAACTTCCGTCTTCTCCTGATCTCTCGTCTCTGCTGCTCCATTAAATACCTTCCGCGCGAGATTCCAGAAAGTTCTCGTCATTTCGTCGGCCTGATACGCAGCGAAGGCTGGGGAGGGGCCGAGACGGTTCGAATGCCGTCCGCGACGGATGACTCAACCCAGCATGACCCCGCCCCTTTCCTTCTAGAAATTTCGAGTGCTTGCTCGGCCGCCGATGTGGGGTGAGGAGGTTCGTCGGCGAAGCCACGCTTCCGAGAGGAGAGGGAGTGTGCTCGGGGGAGCTTGTTTTCTTTTTTCTCTTTTTCTTTTGACCTCCCGGCGTCATTCTGGCGTTTCGTCGCGGGAATTTGGTGGCGTGCCATTTTTGAGCGCTCGTTCTGTGACAGAGTACACATAAACAACTGTGAGACCACACAAAAATGTTATCCCTTGTGGTGGCGGTGCCACTCACCAAAGCAGTCTCTGGTCGCGATGAAGCACAAGTAAACGCCACACGTTTCACAAAAGACGCTCGTCTTGTGCTCAACCTTGCGGCTCGCATAGCAGAGCTTGCAGTTGCGCCTCGTTTCCATCACTTTTGGCTTGTGCGCAGACTCTCGAGGGGGAGGGGTGCTGCCAAAACCTGTGGCTTCAATTCCCAGTAGCTGCTTCACAAGCTCCATTCGGAAGGCAAGCTGGTCGTAACGAGGCGCTCGGTGCAGTTCTGCAATTTCGAGGTGCTCTCTCTTATGGGCCTCAAAAAGAATAAAACTGTTCACAACAGCGATGTCGATGCAGTGGAAGAACAAAGTTTTCCACCACCTGACGCACTTCATCAACACATTGTACGATGCGATGAGCTGGTCTGACCTGTCTACTCCAAGCATGCCTGCATTATATTCTTCAATTATTCTTGGTTTTCTAATTGGGACCTTCTTCCATTGGCCAGCGACCTTTAGTTTCCGTGTTGCAGTCACATGGCTGTCCGCAGTATGGGCAGTGCTCATCATGTGCACTGCGCGTCTGTCCTTCCATTGAAGGTACAGGACGCCTTGATACCGCAGCCAGCGAACATCTCCACTCTTGGCCTTTTTCTCCCATGTGGAGTCCTTCGATTCCGCAGGGAACGTGCGACGATCCTTCCGTGTCGTTCCACAAGCAAGAGTCTTCCGCTCCAGGAGGTGTAAAAAAAGAGACGTGGACGTGTAAAAATTGTCCATGAATAGTGTGTATCTCTGGTCAAAATACATTTCACACAGGCTAGTCACGACATCAAATGCGAGTCCACTTACGCTCGGTGTCTCACGCTTCCCGGTGTAGACACTAAACTGCACTGTGTAGCCGGAATTGGAGTCGGCGAGGACCCACAGCTTGTATCCCCACTTGACAATCTTGTCACGAAGATACTGTCGTATTCCCAAACGGCCTTTAGATTTCACCATTCTTTCGTCGACGGAAATGTAACGGTCTGGCTGTAAATGGAGCGCAGATGCATCATTGATGTGCCGAAGTAAAAAAGCAATTCGGTGCAGCTTGCCGTCTGTAGCGGGATTGGTAGCTTCATGATCCGTCACGCTCAGCATACCGAGGAAGGAGAAAAAACGTTTTCTTGGCATAACCCCACGTGGGATTAGCCCAGAAAACAACTCTGCTGTGCTCCAATAGAGGTGCAGGCGAGGCAGTTGCACTATCCCCATGTAGATGAGGAGTCCGATGAACTTCACCATTTCATCTGGGGAAACATTTTTCCACGATCCGTCGCGTTCCGAGTACGTTGGTTTCTCGAGAATGTGCGCCCAGGCGTATTTATTTGTGTTCTCGCACATCGCTGTGACGAGTTCCGTTGTGAAAAACAGCAAGAAGAAATCCAGGGCTCGAAGAAACCGACTAGCGCTGCTCCGTCGCGCCATACCCAGATCAACTCCCGATTTCCGTCTTGGACAAAACTGCACGCGCTGTGCAGCGGGGGGCATTGATTGATATGTGGGGTTTAACGTCCCAAAACCACCATATGATTATGAGAGACGCCGTAGTGGAGGGCTCCGGAAATTTTGACCACCTGGGGTTCTTTAACGTGCACCCAAATCTGAGCACACGGGCCTCGACATTTCCGCCTCCATCGGAAATGCAGCCGCCGCAGCCGGGATTTGAACCCGCGACCTGCGGGTCAGCGGGGGGCATTGAATCGCGCCCATAGGACGTAGAGACCCTGCGGATAGAGATAATAACTGTGACAACACGCTCGGTCCCCTCGCAGGCGCTCAACAACAAGATAAATCCCGTAAAAAAACTCACCGTCGAGCTGACGAAAACGTTCCCGGTGTGTTGAGGGCCTCATCACTGTCGGTGCTAAACTCCGATGATAGCGAATCTTCTTCGGGGCCACTGCTACCACTTTCATCCAAAAAATCTACTGTAACAACACTAGAATCACGAGAAATACGACGATTCCTTTCAGACCCGGCGTGCGACGACGACGGCATGGCTGCCGCTATCGCCAGACGCTCGCTTATCTTCCAAGCAAGGTAAAAAATCACCGGGTCTCCGGAAACCAAAACCGAAACTGACACGGGTTGTGTGCTTCTTGAGCTTCATTTCAGATGGCGCCTCATGTCCATACGGCGCGTTGGGGCGCGGGAATTTCAACTTCAACCCATCGATCAGATTGACCGAAATTGAATAGGCGCGGTAAGGAAAGAGTGAAACTCAAAAATTATATGAAGTTATGAATACTGAATGCCTGCAGCTTCTCGGTAGAGAAAAAAAAGCAAATGCTTCTTCTAATGTTGCCACTAGGATGGCCAAGTCATCCCCAAGATATAACGAACCCCCTCGATCAAAATGTTTGGTGAATTCATTGTCTGCACTTTCTGCTACATCCTGTTTTTTCATGGCTGTAGACAAGTTCGGCATGGCAGGACAAGAATTTTCTGCTTCCAAAGGTGCTCATAGAGCTTCGGACTTCTCATGCGAAGCAGCACACACTCTAGAATCCAATTCTTCTCATACAGCATGCCACATGTAGGTTTTCTTTTAGCTGCACTGAAGCATGCCATAATTGCCATCTGTTGTTTCCGAGGCAACTTTTTAATGCGTTCATTCAGTGCCTCATCTCCAATTAGCTCATCGGCAGACTTCCTCATGTCGAGTTCCCTCTGCACGTTCAGCAGCTTTCGTTAAGCAGCTACCAGACGGCGGCAAGTGTTGGCGTGCCTTACAAGGCGTTTAAATGAAACGCCGTGTTTCTGTCATGATTGCTGACTTTGCAAGAGCTTTCATAGGTACTTGTAGTGCATTCAAGGGCCCTTACTTTCGCATATAAGGCTGCACTTGGGCGAAAAGTACAAACTGGCAAAATACTCATATTTCTCTACTGTGTTTGGTTTCATACCACAGCCAGCACATAAAACCAGAGAATGTGTGCTGTTCAGCTAGTTAGTTATGTTGGGTTTTGTGGCGCAAGAGCAACTAAGGCTACGCTGCGCCAGACTCATGGTGAGAATACTTACAGCAAACAGGGCTATGACAATGACTCTGAAATGTCTTAACGGCGATGACATATGAATATGATGAGCGGTGAAGCGTGGCTGTATAAAGGCCTAAAAGGATTGGCTCCGTAAACGCGTGAAGTATATATCTCTTCTAAGATTATGTGTGTGATGCTCGGGGTGGTCAATGTGTATGGTTGGTGCATGAGGTTATGTTAAACCGTAACGGCTTTTACATGGCACTAATACCATACCCGTGTCCTTATACCTAAGGGCAGGGAGGCAAGTGCCTCGTAAATTCGAGCTGCAGCAGATGCCTCTCCGAAGAGGCTGTGCTACGAGTTACATCAGTCAAGCTTTGCCATGTCTAGCGGTAGCATAGTTTAGTGTAGTTAGATCTTGTTCAGAAGTTGTGCTTCATTTAAAAAGCTGATCACATCAGCTATAGGTATTAGGGCGTCATCGCCCAAGAGTAGCATTGGGTGAAAGGGAATATTTAACCTGTAAAACATATGGAAATGTTTTTCTCTTAATGCTTCCATATGTGGGCAAGCTATTAAAATGTGCATTACAGTTAGTTGCTCCTGACACTTATCGCATGTTGGGGCTTCTTCGCCTGCCAATAGGTAATTATGTGTGATGTGCGTGTGACCTATTCGTAGTCGACATATAACTACTTCGATAAAACGCGCTTGATGAAGACAGGTCTTCCATTCACCAAGAACAGGTTTAATTAGGTGAAGTTTGTTGTTTTGTTGTAATTTCCATTCCTGCTGCCAGTGAAAGGTGGTGGCCCGGCGAACAGCTTGAATCCCATCTCTGGCAGGTATGTTGGTTTTTGACTCGCGCATCTCTTTTGCTGTTGCAGCTAGTTGGTCTGCCCTTTCATTGCCTGGGATCCCGACATGACTCGGGACCCAACAGAGGCGTATGGTGTGGTCATCAGGTGTGTGGGATAGCATGTTTAAAATATCACCTATGAATGGCTCATACTGAGATTTATAATTGAGACTTTTCAGCGCGCTTAACGAGTCTGTAAATATTATGGCTTTTTTATGTTTTGAGCTTATAATGTATCGTACTGCCATCCATAACGCAGAGCACTCTGCGGTGTAGATGGATACGAACTGCGGTAGTCTAGTTATTTGCTCGTGTGTTGCTCCTACCACACTGCTTCCGACATAAGCAGATGTCTTCGAACCATCAGTATAAAATTCTTCGTAAGTGTTGTACGTTTGTTGTAATGTAAGGAATTCTTGTAGTATATGTTCACGTGGGGTGTTTTGTTTTTTTATATGTGTGAGTGAAAAATCCAAGAATTTGGAGAAATCACTCCATGGGGCCAAACTGGGTGGCCTTCTGGCAATGGAGAGTGCTTCGTTAGGAATATTCAGGGCATGAAATTTTTCTTCAAATCTTAGTATTAGTGGCTTAATTACGTTTGGTTTGTTGGCGTAGTGTTGTCGTAGGTCACAGCATGTGACAATACTGTGGCATATATGATCTGGTGAAGAACGAACTCTAAGGACATACGTGACCATTAGTTTCGTTCTCCTATATTCCAAGGATGGTTCGTTACTTTCGGCGTATAAGCTCGAAATAGGTGAGGTTCGATAGGCACCTGTTGCGAGGCGTAACCCTTTGTTATGGACAGGGTCTAGGCGCTTAAGGTACGAGTCTCTTGCTGAACCGTAGATTATATTACCGTAGTCTAATTTGCTGCGTACTAAAGAGCGGTAGATGAGCAGGAGGCACTTACGGTCGGAACCCCAGTGCTTTCGGGACAAGACTTTGAGGACATTGAGGGCGCTGTTGGATTTCACCTTGAGATTATTAATGTGTGGAAGAAAATTGAGCTTCTTATCAAATACGACCCCCAGAAACTTCTGTTCTTGTTTTATTGGCAATACTGTTTCGTTTATTTTCAGTACGGGGTCTGGTTGTAAGCCTCGTTTCTGGGAGAACGCTACAGCAACCGTCTTTTCCTCAGAAAACCGGAAGCCGTTTCTGTTAGCCCATTGTGTTAGCTTGTTTAGTGCTATTTGAATCTGTCGCTCGCGCGTCGCCATGTTAGATGACCGGCACGCTATTTGGAGATCATCCACATATAGTGAGTGCATAAGAGTAGATGGTATGACCTGGTTCACAGAGTTCATTTTGACGACAAAGAGAGTTGTGCTTAAGACACAGCCCTGAGGCACACCGTTCTCTTGAGTAAAAGTTCCTGAAAGTGTGGTGCCCAAACGAAGCTGAAAAGTTCGGTTCGATAGGAAGTCGGACAAGCAGTTGAGCATCCTTCCGCGAATTCCAAGATCTGCCAGGTCTCGTAAGATACCGTACTTCCACGTTGTGTCGTATGCCTTTTCAAGATCGAAAAATACTGATAAGCAGTGCTGCTTGTACAGGAAAGCTTCTCGTACTGTATGTTCAAGGCGAACGAGGTGATCGGTGGTGGAACATCCTTTCTTGTAACCACATTGGTGAACATCTATCAAGTTATCGGTTTCTAGGATGTATGTTAGCCTAATATTAATAACGCTTTCGAAGGATTTCGCCGTACAACTTGTAAGTGCTATGGGCCTGTAGCTTGTTGGTAATGTAGGGTTTTTTCCGGCTTTGAGAAATGGAATTATAATGGCTTTTTCCCACTCTGTTGGCATTCTGCTAGTGATCCAAATAGCGTTAAAGAAGTGCAGCAATGCCTTCACCGCTTCCTGGGACAAATGGGCGAGCATTTGGTAATGTAATTTGTCTGGGCCAGGTGCTGTTTTTTTACCTTGAGAAAGCACTCTGTTAATTTCCTGCAGGGTTAAGGGGGAGTTGTATGATCTGTCGTGATAACCTGTAATAGTAAGCTTTTGCTTTTCTGTAGATTGTTTATGTTTTAGGAAAGCTGCCAAATAGTTTGCTGAGCTCGAAATAGCGCAAAAGTGCTGCGCTAGTAGGTCTGCCTGTTCGCCTAAAGTTGTCTGGATGCCAGGGGTTGAGAGAATGGGAATGGTATATGAACTGTAGTTGCCGGTAAACTTGTGCACCTGATCCCACATTCTTTTAGATGTGATGGAGCTGTTGATGGATGAAATGTGCTTTTTCCACGAGAGTTTTTCAGCCTGCCTGCGAATAAATCTTGCCTTTGCTCTCGCCTTTTTAAATGCTAGGAGGTTCTCTCCTGTAGGATGTTTACGAAAAATGCTCCACTCCTTTTGTTGCATTTATTTAGCTTGTGTGCACTCTTTTGTCCACCAGGGTTTAAGTTTTTTATTTATAATGCCGGAGGATTGTGGTATAGTTTGTTCGGCTGCCGCAAGTATGCAGGCGGTGACTGTCTCGTTCATTTCCTCTATGCTTAGGCCATCAAGCATCTCTTTTTCTAGGGCAGCTTTTTCAGTGAACAGTGGCCAGTCTGCCAGAGGTAGTTTCCA